GCTGCGTTCGGATAAAAGCGTTTCAGAGGAAATCTTCCGTACCATCACGCACCTGTAATGGACTCTGTGGTGTCTCCCTCCTGGATCACGGGTACCGCGGGATGGAGGCTTCCAGACAGCATGCAGCTGCTCTGTTAATTATCTCACAGTTCAGGAGTGAGGTTAATTAAGCAGTTAAAAAACGGGTTTCCTGAATTTTCCACAAAGGGAAATTAGCTGGCAGTGACCAAACTAACTTCTGTGCCATGTTTGCTCATGTGTTACTTCCTGGAGCAGGTACTGGGCGCGGATGGAGAATTCAAATGATCTGCTATCTTCGTGAGCATCGGAGAAAAGACAGTCTTTATCAGTTTGTTTAAACTTTAACGGTCGGTAGTTGAGGAGGTGACAGACATGTAGGACTTGCTAGGTGCCCGTAATATGATGACACCACAGGCAGATTTGGCCGTGATTGGCGCTGGACCAATTCCATAGGGCTTTTTCATTGTTAATGATAGGAATCTATGGCTGTCGTGCTTCATATTCCTAGTGCGTAATATATATATCTGTGCCATTTTAGAAGTAGAACCTGTGAATCTGTGTAAATATACTTAATCACCTGCATCTCTTCACAGAGCCGAGACACACACACCCTGCTCATTAAGATGATGGATGGGGGTGCGGAGGACGTTTTCCCCCTGTTCCAAATTTGTTCTCGTTTAGAAAGGTGCTTATTAGCGAACACCTGGGGAAAGCACGGGGGGGGGTTGGCTGGCATCAGCCATTAGACAGGGATGGAAGAGAACGGAGAGTGTGTGAGATTAACCCGCTGTGTGTAAAACATGGATGGTTAAATAAAAGAAGAAAGTAGGTACTGAGACAGAGAAATGCTGTCCATTTAATTTGTCCTCAGTTCAAACTGAAGGAAAAATAGAGATGCTTTTACTTGCCACTATCATTTCAACCTTGTGCAGGATGTGCTAGCATAAAGGAACAAATCTATAACTTGGTAGGGTGTACCCAGTGCAAGCAGCACACCTCTCTGCCCCCCCCCCCCAGGAACAGTAGAAGACAACCTGGCACTGACCCACACGATACTATCCAATCTTATTTTTATTATCTCTCCTACAACTCCACAATAACTCTGCTCCCAAAGACCTGTGTCACCAATCACTGCACACGATTTTCCTGAGCTGAAGAAAGGAACAAAAAAAAAAAACATTGCAGTTCAGTGCACTTTGTCCGAGAGATCCCTCTCCTGGATGGATTTCAATCTAAAGGTAGCGCTTAACCCGTAAGAGGTGCATGTAGTTATCAGGTGGGCAGTCAAGGTCGTCGGCTTGGGTAAGCACAATTTTCCCTCTAATTCCGGGAAGCCCAGAGGAAGGCAACCCGTAATGGCACCCGTTTTTCTCTCTCTCTCTCTCTGCTGTGTTTAAGTATGTGCAGACCGAGAGGGATGCTCCAGAAAGCCTCCCTAAGGTGCGCTTCGTCTGCAGTCCGACTTCGTTAGAGAAAGGAGCGGGGGGGGGGGGTGGGGGGGTGGGGTAGTCTGGCTGGGTGTAAGAGACTGGAACAAATTGCGTTTATTCTCCAATTTGGCTCAAGCAGGTCTCTGGTGCCACCCTACAGAGACCCCAGCCTCCAGCAGGTTCATTTGTGTTTTACTTACACATTTTGCCTTCCCTGGGCTCTGATTGGGCGACACAGGCCACGATGGACACAGGGACAAAGATGTGCATGTATTGACCAATCAGAGGCTGTAGACTGCCCCTGCCCATGCCACCCCCAAACGATAAAACGCCACGCTTTCATATTTTTTAAGCACGCCCTGAGCCCGGCTCAATTCACGGGTCACTGGTTGAGAGGGAACTGCCCTTAATATTCTTTGAAGTCTGTTAATGTTGGAATCATTTGGCCCCTAACAGGCGGTGTTAGGTGTCATGTGAATGTGCTAATATAAGGAGCAGATTGTGTCCTTGCAAGGCAGCATGGTTCAAATGGATTTCATATTAAACTATGATAGATGTTATCATGTTGGGTTTTATAGATGCAATGCATTTCCATTATGCCAATGATAAAAATGTCAATAAAAATAATGCTATATGTCAAGGGTTATTTGTTTTTACATTAGCAGACTCTGATGAATAGCATCACAGTGCATTTTTTATGGTTGTTTACAGTGCTTTTTTTGATATGTGGCTTGTGTTGTATCTCCTGCATTAAAACCAGTTCACCAGCCATCTGTGTATCGTTTCCTGTGAAATGCTGATATTTCTTTGCTGAAAGGTCATTTGTGTTGTACTTATTTGTGATTGTGCGAGTGGCATTTTGGCCGGTTGCAGAAGAGCACTGTATTGGGTTTTGGCTTTGGAGTGAAATGATACCCGTACCATTTCCCCTTCAACCTTCCCCGCACAAAACACACTCAGATATATGCATCCGTCCACCGAGGATCCATTTAAAAACGCCCAAAAAGGGTGGTGGTCTGTCACCAGCTTCAACAGGAAGAAGAGAAGCCAAGAGAAAAGTGCATGGTATGCCCACAGATTTTATACCATAATGAGATATTCAGCTCCTAAATTTCCTCTGGCCTCCCTATTTCCCCGGATTCTACTTGGTAAAACAAGATTCTGGTATTCTCTGTATTACTATGCTGTTCTTCTAGACCACACCCCTTCAAGGACAATTGATAACAAAGTCAGCCAATCAGAGCAGTTATAGCTTCAACAATGGCAGAGGCAAAAGATTCAGTGTGAAGCTCACATATCTGGTCAATACATAAAATATCGGTGGTCCACCATTGTGTTCAGTGGTGCTGAATATGCAAGCAGTTTTCTGTGCAGCAAGCAAGCGTGCCATGTAAGTGGCTGAAAAATATTTAACCTCAATGTGCCTTGTTTGAATTTTGAACTACAACATTGAGCAATTAATTATGATTTTCATCCACTACACTGAGTTTGGTAGTCTGTGAAATGAATGTAATGTTATTTGAGTATTGAAGAAACGGTGGCATAATTTTCTTGTTCAAAGTTAAGGATGAAGTGTACTGTGGTTACCTCAAATCTGGGTCTCACTGCTGCATATTCAGTACTGCAACAAAATAAACACCCTTAACATCCTTAATCCCCATTTCCACACAAAGAAATGCTAATCACCAGTGTTGGTATTTAAGGACATTTTTAATAAATAATGTGAAAAAAATTACATGTTTTCGGATTACGTGATCCTCAGTATGTAAATGTATGGCTAACAATAAAGAAGTTGCCTTTTTTTTTAAACATGGAAAAAAAATCAAAATGAAGAACAACAACGCTAATTTCCCTTAGAAAGCGCAGCCATCTCACTCTTCAACTCAACCGCAGCACAACAGAACAACAACACAAAAGTTGGCTTTAAATGGATGGCACTCAAGTCAGGCCGCCCAGTCACGTGCACGTGGCGGTACCAGAACCGGAACCGAGCCCAGCACCTCAGAGCTAATGCCTCTAGTTTTTTTTTCATTCATTTGCTGTGATTCAGTTGCGTTTTTTTGTTTTTTCCTCAGAGGTGTATAGAGACAACGTTACAGGCAGGCAGTGATGCCTCGACCACCAAATCCCAGCTGCTTAGACACCAGGAAACTAGACGGGTGTCTAGAGGTTTGATTCTTTTTTCTTCTTCTTTTTTTTTTTTTCTGCTTTTTGTTTTCTGAAAAAAAAAAAAAAAAATTGCAGAAATCCGATGAATAAACAGCAGCCCCCGTTTCCGTTTGGTGCATACCCTCCCCCCCCCACCTCCCTCTGCGTTCCTCCAGGGCTGGACGCGAGATTCTCCCTGCAGGGAAATCATGTTAACTCCAGACTTTCCCAGGATGCAGCTCCTCAGTTCCTGTTTGCTGCCTTCCTTTAAGTGCTTCGGCAGACAAAGTAACCAGCTCATGTTCCCTTACTCAACCTACACGTTTGCAGACAAAATGTTGCTGAAATTTGCTACACTTTTTACGCATCTATCACTTGAGTACGAATGGAAATCTGCAACCTGTGAAACTCTGGAATGGGTTCGACTGTGACACAGGGATCTTCACGTTTCCTTCCCCGTCAAAAAATAGTCCCACCGTAAACAGCTTACCACCTTCACCCACATCGTCATGGTTCACAAGACTCTTTTGTCATACCTGTATTTCTCCAGTAAGACAAAAAGGTTAATAGATAAAATGGTTTAAAATAAAGTTTAGTGATTGTGCTTTCAAACCAAAGTAAAACAAATAACGACAAACATCGACGACGACAACGAAAAATATAACAGTGCATTACAAAAAAAAAAAAAAATGAAACAAAAACTCCCAAAGTGGCACTTTTCCTGGGGCGGTCAAATGATTTTAACAATTCACAACATGGATGGAAACAGTAAAATAATTAACCATATCATAAAATAATAATCATTAAAAATAAACGAGGAAGACGAATTTTAAGTACCACTATGGGTTATCAAAGAAAAAAAATATATATATTTACAAGACAGTCCACCTCATCTGCTTGTAGCTAATTTTATTACAGTAACACCTGACTGTAAGGGCTTTCGGGAGTTCTTGCCAGGGCAAGTGGAACCATGACAAAAGCTTGAGTAAACTTTTACTCCATATTGCATTGAAATAAAACAAAAACAGCACTATGCAATTTGCTTTGAATGCACCATTCTTTTTTCCTCTTTTTATCTCTTTAAATGGACATAGAAATGATAAATTAAATTAAAAAAAAAACGAAACAATTATTGGTCAGTTTTCCCCCGATGTAAAGAAACACAATTTACATAATTGTCAGCAAAACATAATGGTTCTGATACTGCAATGTATAAAATATGAAGAGATTTGATATTCCTCTCCTGGCAAAGTCTTCAACAACAATCTCCTCCTCCTCGCATGGACTTCAGCTCTCCACAAGCTGTGGACAGAACAGAGATGTGTATATCAGTCTTACAAACATGAACAGAACAAAAACAAGGTACAGAACAACTGCATTGGATTAACTGATTAATATGGTGGCTCGTTGGTTGGGGTATGATCCTTGCTTAGAGTGTGAGAGATACAGAGTTCAAATCCCGGACGAGCCCCTTTTTCATGACACTGAGTTGGAAAATGTCAAATGAAGCTGCATGAGCTTTGCTTGGTCCCTGTTTCAAATTGTTTGACACTGGGACAGCAGTGTAGTGTAGTGTTAAGAAGCAGGGATCATAACCGAAAGGTTACCAGTTTGATTCCCTGCTGGGGAACTGGTGTTGTTCCCCTACAGCAAGGGTATTTAAACCATAATTACCTCATTAAGTATCCAGCATAAATGGATAGTATGTAAAAACTGTAACCTATGTAAGTGGCTCTGGATAAGACTGTCTGCTAAAATGACAATGATGTAATGTGATGGTGCCTCTTTTCTGCATCAGAATGGAGAGGAACCTGTCACAGACACAGAGGATGTGACAACCTCCTCTGTCACAGAACGAAAGGGACGAAATGTGGAGTTTGAGTCAGGCACCTCCAGGTCATCCTCCCCAGGCTGGAAGGCCCCGATGGTATTGAGCCCCATGTCGGCGGGGTTCCTGCGCGCTCCCGGAGGCCCCTCTCCCCTCCGTCGCCCTCCTGACCCCCGGGAGGACATGGAGCTGGAGGAGCTGGGGTCTCGGTCCCGGGGGCTCTGCACTGCGGGGAAGGAGGGTCGGCTGTAGGGCGGGATGTCCTCTGAGCCTGGGGGGGGGGAGGAGAGAGGGGTCCTAAAAGGTGAGCTCACAAACACCACCTCACAGTACGATACCCAGTCTGCTACACTCAACCTTAGATTACATGACATTATTGTCATTTAGCAAACGCTCTTAGCCAGAGCGACTCTACAATTTTTACACGTTATCCATTTATACAGCTGGATATGTACTGAGGCAGTTGTGGGTTAGGTTCTTTGGCCCAAGGGTACAGCAGCAGTGCCCCAGCAGGGAATTGCACTGGCAACCTTTTTGCTTGCAAGCCCTGCTCCTTACCACTATGCTACACTGCTGCCCCACCTTAGCAGTGTAAACGCTGCAATGACTCCTGCCTGTGGAGACTTCCAGCACAAAAGAACAGAAGCGTATCCTTGCAAGTTGAATGTGCAACAGTGTCAGACCAGACTAACAACACTCCCAGACCAGTGAGTGTGAGCATAACACTATTCAAGCCCGACCTCAAGTTAACTTGTGCAACCTGACTGGACAAGGGAAGGCAAGTATACTACCATATCAGTCACTATCAGTCCATACCATCAGTCACTAGAGCACAGAATCCATAACACATTACAATACTACACGTAAAATAAACAGCAAGTGCTCCAAGTAGCAGGTGTTAGGGGGCAGGGATTGAAGTGGAACAGAGATGCAGTCAGAAGAGGTGGGTCATGGGGTTGTGGTTGTATTGGAACAGGTGCATTACATTTCATTCATTTCGCAGACGTTCTTATCCAGAGTGACTTCCAGCACTGAAGCTAAATGAGCAGCAGTGAGATGCAGGCCTGCTTGCGGGGCGTACCTGGGTTCTGGCGGGCCTTGGCACTGGAGCTGGCCTCCTGCTTGGCCCCCTTCCCCCCGCGGCCGGCCTTCTGTCTCTCCTGGGCCTCCCGGCGTTCTGAGGAACTGGTGCGAGGGTCAGAGCCGTCTCTGGGCCGACTGCCCCCGGCCCCGCCCCCGGTCCCGGCTCTCCTGTCCCTGCCCTCTCCGCCCCGGGACTCCGCCCCACCCATCTTCTGCACCGCCGCGCCCCGCCCCTCCTGGGCCAGCTTTGCGGGGTGGCTGGGGGACTTCAGCACCGCCGGCGGGGGGATCGGAGGGGGCGGGAGGTCTGGGGAAAGACAGAGGGATGGGGATAAAAAGGTTAGGGCTTTGCTTTCTGCTGTGAAACAGGAGCAGCAATGCTGTACATAACGTGGTGAAATTAGAACATGCATCACAGCCAGGGCTGTAGCTGGTTTGTCATGGCTCTGATGCAGGCGTCTCACACCTGCAAGGCGAGAGGAAAACAGACAAAGCTTGCAGGCACACAAACACACACTTATTGATGATTGATCCTCCCAGTCACATGTCTTATGCAATCTGCACAGGGGGGCGTGTGTATGTGTGTGTGAGAGAGTGAGTGAGTGTTTGTGTGTGAGAGTGAGCGCGCGTATGTGTGTGTGTGTGTGTGTATATGTGTGTGTGTGTGTTTGTGTGTGAGAGTGAGCGTGCGTATGTGTGTGTGTGTATATGTGTGTGTGTGTGTGTGTATGTGTGAGAGTGAGCGTGCATGTGTATATCTGTGTGTGTGTGTGTGTGTGTGTGTGTGTGTGTGTGTGTGTGTGTGTGTGTGTGTATGTGTGAGAGTGAGCGTGCATGTGTATATCTGTGTGTGTGTGTGTGTGTGTGTGCGTGTGTATATCTGTGTGTGTGTGTGTGTGTGGGTGAAAGAGAGCGTGCGCGTGTGTATATGTGTGTGTTTCCTGGGGGCCCGGCTCGTCTCGCAGTCCTCTCTCCCTGTGCAGTAATCAATGGCGCCTGTCCTTGGCCATTATTCATAACAGCTTGCTTTCTTTGGGAGGGTGTGACTACACCGGGCCTTCGGTGCTGTCCCGAGCGCCCGCGCTGCCGCCAAGGAGAGGGAGACGCTCGCAGGGGCAGCCTCGGCCGCCAGCGATCGATGGGCTCTCATCTTCTAATCAGCTTCCGAGAGGAGAGAGAGGGGTTCGGCGTCGCCATGTGTGCTAATCCGCGATGCTAACCCGCGCAGGACTCCGCAGTTAATAAAGATGGCGCTGCCCCCACCGCCGGTCCCTCTGTGTGCCACCACCGCCGGTCCCTCTGTGTGCCACCACCGCCGGTCCCTCTGTGTGCCACCACCGCCGGTCCCCCTGTGTGCCCGCGCCCCTGTCCGGCGCCGTTTGGTTAGCACTGTCGGAATGTCGTGACCCCAGCGTTCCACCGGCTATGCTAACATTATCAATATTCATACGCACGCCGGGGGGGGGGGCGGCAAAGTTTTCACTAAGGTGTTGGGCCTCTCGGCGGAAAGAGGGAGGGTTTAAGACGGTTTCTCGGTAATTCTCGCCCCTGCGAGCCTCTCGGATCCCGAGGTCGGGGGCAGTCGATATCGCGCGAGGGAGAGACGCGTCAGCGGGGTGTTTTTTATAAGCCCCTCCCGGGCCTCCCCTCTGAGCCGTGGGGATGGATCAATGCCAGCGTCTCGGAGATACGGCGCACAGGGCGAGGCACGACCTCAGCCAGGGCGGGGCCGGGGGAGGGATGGGGGACGGAGAGGGAGCACGGGATTTACGGCCCGCAAACAGCGCTCGGCGGACGGATCGAGATTCTCCTCATCCCAGCCCCTGGGGAGGGGACCGTCTTGGAGGCTAAACGCTGATGAGAATCATGGGAGGAAATTGACCCCCCCCCGCTCAGCAAACAACGGAGAAATGAGCAGGTGAGAGACGCGTGGATGGAGGGGTGGAGGGAGGGAGAGAAGGTGAGAGGACATGCGGGAGGAGAGAGTGAGGGGGTTCCCAGCTGCCCTGTCCGCCTGTCTCTTTACTGCCTGCTTAAGCAGCACGGTATTTATGGGATTTTATGGGTGTTTACGGGCGTCATGGCTGGCCGGCCGGTCTCGGTCAGGCCTAAAATGGTCTGGGCCGAGGAAGACACAGAGGTAGGGAGAGGCGATCGTAATAACGGGAATGCACAGAGAAAGAAATAAAAGGGGTGTGGAATTGCTCTGTGGGGGGGCATATACGCGCCTGTGCTGGAAAGAGCAGGAGATTTACACCCACAGGGTACCCCCCTGTCACGCCTCTCCCAGCCTGTCCACGGCAACCAGGAGGGGAGGAGAGGGGAGGGGTTGTGCAGAACTGGGGTAATAACTGCAGTCTAAAATGAAACCAATTTTAATAAAATCCGATCCAGGTTGGGACAGACGGACAGAAATGAAGTCCTGTCAGTGCCTGTCTCCTCGCAGATCGGGGAGGGGATGAGATAGAGGGATGAGACGGAGGGGATGGCTTAAAAAAAGGAGGGGAAAGGAAGGGGGTGGGGGGATTCGATGTGATGATATTTCTGGCTAGGCTCTGCATGCTGGATATTAAATCTCCTTCCCAAAGCTTCCAACACACAAGGACACCTGACACGGAGACGAGGCACCGATGCTCGGACAGACACAGACACAGGCGCACGCACGCACGCACACACACACAAACAGACAATTATACGCTCACACAGACACAGAGAGAAAGAGACTCATACACACAGACAATTATATGCTCACAGACACGCAGGGAGAGAGAGAGAGAGATATAATTACACGCTCACACACAGACATAGACAGGTACACTCATGCATGCGCATGCATACACACACAAAGACAGACAATAATGTGCCCACACAGACACAAACACACACATGCACGCACGCACACACACAGACAATGATATGCTCATACAGACACATACACGCATGCATACAAACACACATAGGGAAAAATACACATGCACAAACATTGTGTGGACACATGCGTGGAAGCATGCACACAGACACGCATACACACAGACACATAAAACGCACAAAGAGACACAGACAATGAGACACACGTGCATGCCCGCACACACACACACACCGTTCTCCACAAGTTGCAGTAATTATAATAGCCAGGAACTGGAGCAGATTCAATGAATTTAATTTATACTCCTGGTTATGAATACTGTGGAGGCCAGGGATATTATTTTTGGCAATGATGTGCCCTTAGTTACTTCGGTGGGTGGCTGCCAGTTCCTCTAAAAGAGACTCAGACAAAGGAGGGGGGGATAAAAAAGAGAGAGAGTCCTGCAAGGTTACTCCATATTTACACGCTCTCCACTCTGGCTGCTACTTTGTGTTTTCCACGGGTTTTAAGTGGAAGGTGGCACTTCAATAACGGCCGGAGCACCTGGGGCAATTTCATTAGAGGCTGGAACGGGACGATGTCCCGGTGTCAGCGGAGAGGCCTGGACAGAGCTCCCCCGAGACCAACCCCCACGCACACGGCCCCCCCTTACTGACGGGCCATTGCCTGCTCAGCACCGCGGCGGATTGGAAGT